TCCAAAAATAACAACAGAAATTCCAATGGTATTTTGATCACATGGTTTGTTTCCTGCTTTCTTGGTCATAAAAACAGGTTACTTTTTAAATAAGCAATGCCAAATAAGGAGGGTTTTGTTGGTTGGTTAGATGGCTGGTTGGTCAATCGGTTGGATTTTTGGTATTGAAGACTGAACCCAAGGCACTTTACCACTGAGCCTCATCCCCAGTCATTTTGTTTTGTTTTTTTTAAGACAGCATCTTCCTAAGTTGCTACAGCTGACTTCAAACTTGGAATCCTCCTGCCTCAGCCTCCCAAATCACTAGGACTACAGGAATGCACCACTGTTCCCAGCTTGGAATTTTTATTAATATTAAAATGAGGAGAAACATTGGACTCAATTGAAATGCTTTGTTAGAAGTGCTTTGTCAAATTTTTGTAAACTGAATGTATCTACCTGAAAATATCAAATAATTTCAGAGAATAAGGTAGAAAAGGCTGTAATGCCAGTAGTCTATTCTACAGATGACAATTATTAACCCCAGGTAGTTAAAGGGTATTGTATTATACAAGCAAATCTTGATCAACCATTTCATTCTGTAGATGATACTAAATTGCAAAAAGGTGAAGTGATATGGCAAACTGTGGGGCCAGACCCCAAATTCTTATTTCTTAACTGCCAATTGAAATTCCTTTCCACTAGATCAGACTCTCTCACTCCTGTGTTTTCTGTCCACCAGACACAGAGGAGTATCAAATTATGGCAGGACACAGATGCTGGGATAAAAATAATTGTCAAAATACTATATAAAACCGGGTGCAGTGGTACACTAAAAATAAAACTAAAATTTTTTTAAAAAATTAAAAGCTCAATATTTCCTTTAAAATGCTCTATTTTCTAAACTAATAAGATCATCCTCATGAAGAAATCAGAGCTATTCTTGAAGAAGCACCCTGCAATTTGGGAAAAGACCACCTTCCATGTAGTTAATTCTGTGGGTAGTTAATTCTGTAGTTAATTCTGAGGGATTCTAGTTGGGCATATGACAGGCACTCTCCCTTAACCAAAGAGAAACTGATTTGCCTATTGTTTTTGGCTTCTGAGAGCTACCAGTAACTACCCTTCTTACAAAAACCACTTGCTAGCCAGGCACAGTGGCATATGTTGGTAATACCAGCAATTTGGGAGGCCAAGGTAGAAAGACTGTGTTCAAAGCCAGCCCCAGCAACTTAACAAGGCCCTAAGCAACTCACTGAGACCTGTCTCCAAATAAAATATAAAAAAGGGCTGGGGATGTGGCTCAGTAGTTAAGTGCCCCTGGGTTCAATCCCTGGTACCAAAAAAGAAACTTTTCTTATTTAAACTAGACAATGCTTACATCTGCTGTTTGAAGTAAAAGAACCCTCCCCCCCATGGTGTTGCAATGTACTACGGACAATAGTAACTAATAATCATATGTTTGTGTGCCAGGTACTCTTCTAAAAGTTTTACATGTGGCCAGGTACAGTGGCACATGCCTATAATCCCAGTGACTCAGGAGGCCAAAGCAAGAGGATGGCAAATTCAAGGACAGCCTCAGCAATCTTAGCAAGGCTCTAAGCAACTTGGTGAGATCCTGTCTCAAAAAGGGCTGGGGACATGGTCCAATGGTTAAGTGTCCCTGGGTTCAATCCCTAGAAGCAAAAAATATGTAAAAGATTTACATCATTTAATCCACAAATTGATCCTCTGAGGTAAGTATGATTATTAACCCATTTCACACTGAAAATACTGGGATCCAGGCAGATTAAGTCATGCGCCCTTTCTCAGAGCTATTGGTTGAACAGCCAGAAGTTTAACTCAGGCTGGAATATCCTATAATTTGTCTTAGATTATGAAACCTCTAATCAGACTGCTTTATGATTTGTTTTGTTTGCTGTTTGTTTTGTCTATGGTGCTGAGGAAAGCAATCCAAAGCCTTGCCTATGCTGGAAAGCCCTTTACTAGTGAGCTATTCCCCAAGCCCCATGGCCCGAATTTTTACTAATAATAAGAACGTCTTTCCACATTGGAAAATACTTTTTAAAAAAAAATTCCCCATATTAAATTTTATAATATCGATTTCCAAAATGCAACCAATTATCTTCTACGGTGGGATATTTAGGTTATTCATAGCATTTTAATACCATAAATAAAGCAATAACTGCTTTTCACTTATTTTGAGGGCACATCTTTTTTTTTTAATATTTATTTTTTAGTTTTCGGCGGACACAACATCTTTGTTTGTATGTGGTGCTGAGGATCGAACCCGGGCCGCATGCATGCCCGGCGAGTGCACTGCCTCTTGAGCCACATCCCCAGCCCCACTGAGGGCACATCTTAATCTATATGTAGGTTAAATTTCAAGCACGGACTTGCCAAGTCAAAGGACATGTACCTCTTAATTTTTTTTTTTTAATTCTTCATTCTTGATTATATATTGGCAAATACCGGACATTTGTTTTCAAAGCTGGTTAAGAATATAAAAGGAAACAAAGTTGGCTGTTTTTTTGTGACACGCTGTTTCTGCCTTCCGGCATTCATGTGTGTTTACAAAGCACAGAAGGGAGACAATCTGCTCAGCTACAAAAGAAAAGAAGATCTTGTTTTTAAATGTTAATTGATGGGAGATAATAGGATTTCCCAATCAATACCAAATACAGTTCAAGCTCAGGGCTTAAGGATTTCTTGAGCCCAGTTATTTTTATTGCATCAGATTTCCTGAGACGATACCAAATATCATTCACTCATGGACAGATTGTAAAAACGGTAAATGATAAGACAGTTCTATAACTTTTAGGTCTTCCTTTCATACTTGCTACTTTTTAAAAAAAAAATTACAGCTAGGACCAAACTGTTTAGAGCTGGGACTAGAGCTACTGGGGGGCAAAGGAGGTAGGAGGCTGAGGCAGGAGGATTGCTTAAACCCAGGAGTTTGAGGCCAGACTGGGCAACACAGCAAGACTCTATGGAAAAAAAGGTAGGGAGGAAAGCGGGGAGAGAGAGAAGGGCAGAGGGAGAGAGAAAGGGAGATTTTAAAAAAGAAATCATGGCTTACATTTTGACAGCAGCACACTCAACACAATGATGTGATTATTAGTGTTTAATTTCTTTTGTGAGCTCTATGTTCTATTTCCTTCTCCAGGAGTTACCCCAGTGCCATGACTTCCTGAGAAGATCAAGCTACCTACTTTTTTGCTCTACAAATACTGAAATACACTTCAACTGAAGACAACATAAAACCTCAGACTCAACCTGACACCATGCTCTCCTTGGGGGCTGGCACTGCACCATTTAGATCAGCAGGAAGCTCTTCAGATAATGAGGATGACAAAAGAAGCTACCTACTTATAAATAGCCAGATGGAAGGAACAAGGACCTTAGTGTACATGTTCTGCCCAGAGCTATGTCCTTGTAATACAGGAAGCTGGACTTACATTACTTGGGAGAATGGATAACTGAAGGTAGAAAAAAATAATAATAATAATGTCCCAAGATCCTCTGTAAACTGGAATTTAAATAACCAGAATAATGTAAGTGCCCATTATTTTTTTTTTTCTACTTGGGCTGGGGGTGTACCACTGCAGCAGTAGAACAGTGCCTGGCATATGTGAAGAGCGGGTTCAATCCCCCACAACTGCAAACGTTACCAACTCAAACAAAATACAATGTCAAAGCAGTTTTTAGCAGCATGGGAAGGATGAGATCACCAAAGCTCAGGTCACCCAGCCTGGCGACAACAGCATTTTCAGAAAGATCATTCGCAAGGAAATCAGAGCCAAATTCATTTTTGAGGATGGCCAGTGTCTTGTTTTCCATGACATTTCCCCTCAAGCACCAACACATTTTTTTGTACTCCAACTGAATACAAATTAAAATCTCACATATAGTCCAGATTTCTGCAGCAGAAGAAGTGGATAAAATTCTTCATGGACATTTAATGACTGGTGGCAAGAAATGTGCTGCTGGTCAAGGACCAAAGAAGGGTTATTAAATGGTGGTAAATGAAGGTGCAGAGGGGACAGTCTGTCTACCACGTTCATCTCCATGTTTTTGGAGGTCAGCAGATAAAATGGCCTCTCAGTTAAGCAGGAATTGGAGAATAAGTTTCCCTTCTTTAGGCAAGAATTATATTTGAATTTCCAATATGTTAAACAGCATGCTTATGTCTGCCTGTGTGTGGAGATATTGAGGAAATATTTTTTAAAACTATACATAACAGAAGACATTGCATGGTTAAAAAAAATTTTTTTTTTTTTAATCCTACAGCTGGGGATGTACCTCACCATAGTATGTTCTTAGCATATGAGAAATGCTGGGTTCAACCCCCAGCACTCCTCCCCAGAAGAATTACCCTGACACTCTATTAAGATGCAGAGTACCAGATTATCTCAGTCCTGTTGAATAACTGCAGCAAAGCCTTATCTTGCCACCCTGACAATGATTATCTTACAGAGATGGATAAAAAAGTTGAAAAGGAAAAGACAAGTAAACATTCAAGAAACACAATGGAGGGCAACCCCAATAAAGAAAGTACTGGCAAATACAAGAAACAAAGGAACATGCAGATAAAATGAAGCACCCTCAAGAAAGTTCAGAGATTCAGAAAATAACAACAAACAACCAGTTAGTTGAGGTTTCCACCCTAGGCTCAAAGACCCTCAGGCCCCTCTATCAGAACGAATCAGGACATGTTACACGTTATTTATTCTAAATAGCTCAGTTGCTGTGTTTCATGCTATCTGGCAATCCTTCAGTCCAACTCAGCTCATGCTGAAAGGCGAAAAGAGACAAATAATGAATCGATGCCAACAGTGAGTGCGTGGACTGTCTCTCCCATGAAACCAACTCAGGAAACTAGAGAGACTCTTTTGTTGTTGGCCTCATATAGAAGTAAACAGCATTCAAGTTGGGTTAATCCACGGAATTCATTAAAAATCGGGAACAGTCAGGCAACAATGAAATTGCTGGTTTCAAACCTAGAAGATTTTGGAACTCACCTAGGGCATGGCTACAACTCCTGCAGGATTCCGTGAGACTGACAATGATCTGCTGCAGATCGGCTCTGGGGGGAGTGGGAGAGGGGTTGGGGTTTTTCCAGCCATTACATTTACAGGATTCCTCGGCCTAGAAGAAGAAGAAAGAGAGAAACAAAAATTCCGTCACAGGCAGCCATGGACTGATTTTTTTTTTTTCTTCCATGAGAACAATGCACACTGGTTATATGACAGCTACCCCCTCACACAACTCACCCTCAACTTTTGTCATTTTCTACCTAGGCAAGAGAAACAAACTCATAAAAAAGGCAAAGGGAGTATTTGCTTTGGGCATTCTGGGTTTTGTTTTGTTGCTGGCTGGAATCTACATGCTGCAGCTCAGACGGCTGACCCCACACACTGTGCCACCCTTGCCTCAGTGAGTGTCCCTCTAGAGGGGTCACAGTTCCAAGAGAATCCTTCACTAAAGTTTTATAAAACAGGGCTGGACTAGGGACGTAGCTCACTGGTAGAGCAGTTGCCTGGCATGTGTGAGGTCTTGGGTTCAATCTCTAGCACCTTAAAAAAAAAAAAAAAAAACTAACCAAAATAACAAGCCACACTCCTCAGATAACAATAAACACAGGTAGGATCTGAGCAAGACTGAGCTTTGCCAGCTTCAAGGCTCCTGCTCCAAATCGACTCCACAGACCAGAAGAGAAACTCACAGACCTACGGAAGTTGTAATCCCAGTGAGATGTGATGGGGAACACCTAGCTGAAGCCCCACGCACCCCAAACCTTTTTACAGGCTCCCAGGTGTGGAAATAGAGAGGACATCATGTAGTCATGTAGCCTGAGGTTTCTACCTATGTGTACTTCCCAGAGTCCCTGTACTAGAACATGATATTATTTCAGTAATACTTGATAGAAATCTTTAACTTTGTCCACATACTTTTCATACTTCTCTTTGTAAAAAAGAAAATAATAATAACAATAACAATAATAATAATAATAATAATAATTAAAACATTTCTGTGACTGGGAAAACAGAAAATAAATTGTTCAAATAATGAAATACTCAGATTCATTCTAGGCCAAAGCCTTCAAAGTGTCCAATATGGTAGCCACTAAGCCATATGTGCCTACTGAGCACTTGAAATGTGTCTAGCCCAAATTGAAATGTACTGTAGATGGAAAATACATACTACTTCTGAAGAGTGGTGCAGAAAGAAAAATGTGAAACATTTTTTCCAGTACTGGGAATTGAACCCAGGGACACTATACCACTGCTATATCCCAGCCTTTTATATATATTTGTATGTATGTATTTATATATGTACTAGGGATTGAACTCGGGGCACTTTACCACTGAGTTACATTCCCAGCCCTTCCCCGCCACACACACTTTTTATTTTGAGACAGGGTCTTGCTAAATTGCTTAGGGCCTCACTAAATTGCTGAGGCTAGCCTTGAATTGTGATCCTCCTGCCTCAACCTCCCAAATAGCTGGGATTACAGATGTGTGCCATCAGGCCCAGCTTATTTTAAGATACAGGCTCACTAAGTGGCCCAGGCTGGCCTTGAATTTATAATCCTCTTGCCTTAGTCTTTCTAAACTCCAGAGTAGCTGAGAAACTAAGATAACAGGCATGTACCACTACACCCTAGCTATTAATTTTCATATTGATTGCACACTGAAATGGTACTATTTTAGACATACAGGATTAAATAAAAAAGATCATTAAAGATAATTTAACCTTTTATTTTTTTTCTTTTTACATTTTTAAATGTCATTTCCAGAACACTTAACTTGTCACATTCACATTCTACTGTACTATTCTATGAAACAATGTGTATAGATATTTTTGATTGGTCTTTGGGTTCAATCTTTGGTTCTCTCAGAGGTTTTTGCTCTCCACGTTGTTTCCTCGTCCTCACCCCAGGTACCAGGTGGCTGAAGTTAATAAAAAATCTAATTTTTAGAAATTTTCTAAGTGACAGCTACCTTGATCTTATCCATAGTATTTCCCAAGATGGAGACAGTGTCTGAAGTGTGTGTGGTACAGGAGAAGAGGGAGAGAAGGAATTAGTTACTGGCAAGGTTAAGAGGGGTCAATGTAGAAGATGAAAAGTTTGTTTTGAAATGTGGAAAGAAAAATCCGCCTTGAATATGAATTATTTACAGTAGGCCCAGTGGACCTTGTGAAATCAGCACATACAACTTGACCTCTTCTTCCATTTTAACATGATGAGAATGAATATGGCACAGCTAGAAGGACTTTATGTCAGCAAGCCCCATAATTACAGACCCAGTGAATACCAAGGGCCCCTCTTTCGGCAGGGCATCAAGAAGGATCCAACTCGTATCCCTACTGCTATTTTACCAAGCTGAGCTCAGACTTGAAATTCTCTGCAATAAGCCACAAACCCCTTCAGAGACTATAAAGGTCCCAGAGTCAAGGGTCTTGGGTGAACATTCATGTGAGAACTTCAAGAGAAGGGAAGGTTTGCCAGGCATGGTGGTATACGTCCGTAATCTGAGCTATTTGGGAGTCTGAGGCAGGCGGATCACAAGTTCAAGACCAGCCTTGGCAAATTAGTGAGACCCTGTCTCAAAATAAAAACGGACGGGGGAAAGACTGGGGTTGTGGCTCAGTGGTAGAGCACTTGACTAGTATGTGTGAGTCACTGGGTTCGATCCTCAACGCCACATATAAATAAACAAATAAAATAATGGTCCATCAACATCTAAAATACAATTTAAAAAAAAAAAAAAAAGACTGGGGATGCACCTCCGTGGTAGAGCAAACCTGGGTTCAATGCCCAGCATAGGGGGAGTGAGAGCAGAATATGCCACTTTGGTATAAAGGTTATACATAACAAAAAATAGCTCTCTGCCTTCCCCCTATTTCCCCACCAGCAGGACATAAGTAGGAAGGACAGGAAGTTAATCAGACAATTCTTATCAGCCCAGAGATGGCACCAGAGGAATCTGCACAATAAACCTTAGTAAAACCAGCCCTCATTTACCCTTAGTTTCTCCATGTTGCCTACATGACGTAACTGAATTTCTGCCCCCACAGAGTCTTGCTTATTTTTTTTTTTTCCGGGTATTCAGGAGAGAACTCAGGGGCACTCGACCCTGATTCACATCCTCAACACTATTTTGTATTTTATTGACAGGGTCATCTCACAGAATTGCTTAGGCACCTTGCTTTTGCTGAGGCTAGCTTGACCTCGTGGATCCTCCTGCCTCAGCCTCCCGAGCCAACAGGATTACAGGGCATGTGCCAGGGCACCTTTGTCTTTTTATATTTTTTTAGTTGTAGATAAACACAATACCTTTATTTTATATGTTTATTTTTATGTGGTGCCAGGGATTGAACCCAGTGCCTCACACAAGCACTCTACCACTGAGCCACAACCCCAGTCCTCTTGCTTATCTTTGAGGACAGGATGGCTGATGCCCCTCTTCAGGTAGGCTAGCTAAAACCAAATGGATCTAAGATGGCTGCCAGAGCAACTGTCAGCCTCTAACTTCATTACAATCCCATCGGCCTGCTAGATGGTGCACCTCCCAGCACGATGACAGTTGACAATTGTCTTGAGAACAACCAATGAAAACCATGAAAGGAGCAAAAAAGAGGTGGCACTCAAATTCTCAGAAAATCTCCACCCATTTCAGAAAATACCCGACTGTTCCTCCCCTTTATTGACGTACCCCTCCCCCTCATTTCTTTTAACCTACACCTATAATCTCCCAGACCCCCAGGGTCAAGATGCTGACTTAGTTAACTCTTTGGCCAAGAATAAACCTTCCTTGGTTCCACAATCCCACGAGGGAACAAGGATCCAATTGTGAGGTCAAAAATTGGTAACATGCCCAGGTGCGATGGTGCAGGCCGGTAATCCCAGGAGCTCAAGAGGCTGAGGCAGAAGGATCACAAGTTCAAGGCTAGCCTGGGCAACTTCACGAGACCCTAAGCAACTTAGCAAGACCCTGTCTAAAAATAGAAAATAAAAAGGGTACCAGGTTCAACCACCATTACCAAATAGAAAAGAAAAAGATAGAAAGAAAAGTCATGACAACATAGTTCCCCAAAAGTAGTTAAGTATGGCTGGTCAAATCTAGAAGGAATAGAAAATACAGTCCTTGCCAAAAACCTTCAGGTTTGAATAACTACATTTCTAGCCAAAGAACCATGATGTGTTACTGATTCATTCCACAATATTTATTGAAGGCCTACTATGTACCAGGTGCTTTTGCTAGATGGTGTGAGAAATAGAAAGTTCAGTAGTCTATTTTCAGAACACGATATTTATCCTAAACTGGGATATTAAGATCCAATCATAGCCATTTTAACTGTAGCCCTTCCCTTTGCCCACCCAATTTTAAAATTTTCCAATTGAGTAGATTGTAACACCAAGCTCCTCCTATAGAGCAAGGGGCAGTGCTGCTTTTGGCATTAAAACAGGCAGACTGCCCACCCAAGTTTGCCTTGCAGAGCTACTTCCATGCATGTTTGATTCCTTAGAGCATCCCCCAGTATTTCTAACAATGGGAAACTAAGATCCTTTTCTCATGGCACTTATATTGGGGTGGTGGAGGATGGAGCAAGAAAAATAAATAAATGATAGTGTATTAGAAAATGATAGTGCTCGTGGTAAATCACCCTTGGGTTCAATCCCCAATATGGGGGTGGGGCTGGGGGGGGTTCCAGTAAAAGATGAAACAGCCAGGAAAAGATAAAAGATTATCTGGCTTGCTCAACAAAGAGCAAAGGCCAGGGAGGCTGGAGCACTGTAAGGTACAGAGTTGCAGATAGTAAGATAAAGGGGTGGGAGGAATCCTGTGAGCCGCCTACGCTTGGTTACTGAATCTACCCTCTCCCTCTCTGACAGGATCCACAAGGGCTTGAACTGGGGAAGGAGGAGAACTGGAGGACAGGGACAGGGTGTCTCCAAAATCCCTTCCTTCCTTCCTTTGCTTTTTCCTACAGTCACAGAGGTAAGCATCACCACTTTCTTCTTTGATAGTAGTCACTGAGGTTTTAAAAAAGAAAGAAAAAAAAATCCATTTCCTTTGGGTAACTAATTAACATGATGAAATCATCCTATTTTCTTTTTCTTTCAACTTCCAGACCAGAAA